GAAACCTATAAGGTTCCTTTTGCATTCAAGACACTCAAGGCTTTTTCTTTTTTCCTACACAAACCGCCATTTGTAATTCTAATATGCTGTTCATCAGATACAAACAGACCTCCTTTTTGCCTCGGACCGTTGCAAGCATATTTGCCAAACCTTGTTCTGTGCTCAAGGGGAACTTTGCTGTCACTGCCTAAAATGACCTCACCTGTGGACTCCACGGTTTATATGCTTGGTCACGTACAGCAGGCCGCAACTCCCCTCTGAGCACGCTCGACCACGTGGTCACGTTGTCGGCCCATATGCTAATGCGCACTTCAATCACACAGAATGCTAAAACCACATAACTGCCCTCTATGCAAATACTGACTTCTGTGTTGAATGCACCGGGCAGCCAATTCCCTGAGGGAAGCAATGAAACGAGTATAGAGGAGAAATATGGTAAACGGGTTTGCTCACTGATACCACAAACATTAAACCGTACATGGAAAACATTTTTAAGGCATTGCAGTTTTCCCTACTTAATAGAATTATTCTCGTTTTCTTAAATGCTATTGTTCATATTTAATAGAAGCCACTTACTTTATCCAACATGTTAAAAGATACATAAAATAAAAACACCTTTTACTCTTTCTCAGCTGGTTCAAGATCCCAAGTGAACTTGTCCTTGCTCCAAAGAACTGGTGTTTGATTTTGAAGGGTACTGGTGATCTGTGACATGTAAAATGCATTTTAATTGCACTGCAGACAGAAGTGAACTGTCATCACTACTGTGGGACGTGTATCCATGGTAACTAAGGACACATAACTGGGTAACACAGGAGAAACTTGCTGCAGATGGAAGAAGTTTGCCTTTAAACTTGTGTTTAACATCGTGAAATAATCTGTTTAAACCCAAACCATGAGTTTTTCTTTCCCCCTTAAACCTAAGCAAATACTTTTGCATGTATCTAACACTAACAGAGAAGGTGAGGACAAAAATAATAGTAAAAGGAGAGTGCAAAAACGTGGTCCCATGCAGGACTCGACCCTTCAAATGCAGACGTCTGTAGGTTTTGTTCTTCTACATGATAGAAACAACAACCTAAGGGCGTTTAGGGAGCAGAACAAAAGCACTGGGAGCTAAATCTGTTAAAGCAGGTCGCAGATGACAATAATGTTAGTGTTATATTAGCTTCCAGAGTTTCTGGAAATCTTCCCTCAGATGCCCCAAATGTAGAATGTTACTGGAACTTTAACCCTTTCTCCTTGAAAGCCTACTAGGAGTAACCTGTGATGCTTTTTTCTGAACTGAGTGGCTTCCAACATATTTCAGGTCTGCTTATAGAAAAAAATATCTGTGTTTGCATCAGAAGTTAGTGAGGGTGGTCTCTGCCTCTGCAGCTACCCTTACAAAAACCTGTTCGAATGGTCATCAAGCCATTGATATATACTGAGATGTCAGAACTCATTATAAATCATACAGAGGACAAAGTCAAATATGTCGATGACCATAAACACTTTTTGTTTGGTCTCTGGACTGTGTGGGACGCAGCTCTTATAACCAGTAACAATGCTTCACATGAAAGTTGTGTCAAGCTTCAATCACAAGTCAGGATTTCCAGTGGGGTCAGAATGAGTCATGTAAGGAGTGATCCAATTGTACCTCAGTGCAGTGGGTTGCAAAGAGACTATTTGAAGGGAGTATTAAATCTGTGTTGGGTTCATCACAGCTAATAGTTGCTTTAGTGCAGTCACAGAAAGTGTATGTAAATATATTTTGTTTGCAGTAGTGCATCAAATGAAATGGTTGACAGTCAGTTTACCTGTTTAGTATCATCACAACAACATACAGCACTAATCTTTCCATCCAGCATCAGCTCTTTTTCTACTCTCTCATCCAAGTTGCATTTGCCTGAGCTGGCATGAACGCACAGCCTTTAGAAAGAAGCCTGATGTCTCTCAGTACTCATTGTCATGGTGAGCTGCTTTGGCAGCAGTGCTAGAGTATATTTATGTGTAGTTTATGTTAACAGGAAGACAAAGTAGTGTACTCAAATAATAACAGATATTGCAAGTAAAGAAGATAAATAGTGATTTTTATTTACCCTGTGATGCCAAGTGTGTCACACTTGATAGTTGAATACTTACTTGATACTTACTTGATACTTTTTGTGATACTTTGAGAACGCTACATTGTCAGCACAATAACATTTTAAGCAAAAACTGAATGAAAATGATGGATGTAGTAAAAAATGGTTACAAATTAAAGGTCATAATTGTTCATTGTAAACTGATGCATTTTAATTGTAAAAAGCATCAAAATACCAGCCCAATAAGTCTCATGTACATAGAGTTAAATGTGACTCAGTCCTCATCTACCTCATATTGTAGATATAATCATGCATTTGAGACTCAGCTGGAAGTTATCTGATCTATTTGTAAATTACAAATGAGGCAAATTTGTGTTTTTCTCATGAACACCGTTTGTGTAACTCTTAATTTTTTTTTTAAGTCAGTAATTGAAATTGAAATCCACTTATCAAGTTGTAATTCTTTACAAATTTTTGTTACATTTACCCTTTTAAAAACATTTAAATAATAAAAATGTGGCAAATATTATATTTTTAGTTTTTTAGATTTTTCTGAATTTTGCTTGATGACACTGACTGTGAGAAGTTTTCGAGTGATTTCCAGCACATTTGGTTACGAAGTGTGCCGAATAAACATGTGAGGAAAGATAAGCTGTGGTTATAGATTTCATTGTGCTTTAGTTTAAACAAACTTTTGGTTTTAGCTGACAAGGTGTACAGGTATTCATGGTCGTCAAGGGACCAATCCTGCATTTTTCCTTTGGCCTATTTCGTTGTGTTTGTTTGTTTTTGGGTTTTTTTATATTGGCACCTCTGTGTTCAGGACATTGTAAGTCATGGTCATAGCATGAAATATGCTAAGAATGCAGGATCTGGGACGATGAGATCGGAGTAAAATATTTCCTCCTGTGATGGTGTTACAGATGTAATCTTCTTTAGATCCTGTCTTGGTCCTCTTGTCTCAGCATCAGTCTGTTTGATGTGTGGATACTCCTACACTGTGCTGACAGTGTTCTTCGTCACCAGATGTGACCTACTGGCCTTTCTACCATTGCCATGAGATCCACTGACATGTTACTCAGAGCACCTGACTAGCATTTGGGAAATGCTACTTTGTAATAACAGCGAATCTCATGGAGCATATTTGTTTTTTTGTGCATGTTTAATTTCTGATTAGACTTTGAATAGATTTATATCAGGATTCCCTGAAAGTCTCATGCTAAAGAGACACATACAGGTCTTAAACACACAAACACACTGTTCCCTTCATCCTCCTCTGTCCTCCCCTCCTGTTCTCTTCCCTCAGGCAGATAGCATCAAAGATCTGTCACGTCGGCATCTGGTCTTACACAAGTGTTAATGTCCCCACCTCAGCTGAGAATCACCGGAGCACTGACGCCAGGCTGAAGTGTGCCTCTGTGATTCGGTGTATTTTAGCTTTAAATGTATTTTACCATTGCACCTGAGATCAGAAGTTTTCTAAAGCTGTTTTCAGAAAGAAGGAGGTTTAGGCAGCATTGTGTTTAAATATCTGTGTGCGGTGCGTATATAACAGGCAGAGTTCCAGCTCCTGCCGCTCGGACACAACAAGCCAATCATTCCTGAGTTCTAAAATAAGCTCCCCCCCCCGCCATCCTCTTGCTCTCCCTTCACATGTGCTCCTCTCGTCAGCACCTCTCACCTTCAGAGTGACAGGAGACAACTGATGAGGAGCTGAGGAGGAAATGGGCGACATCAAGAGGGAGTCAGCAAACTTTGAAAGGGGAGAAATGGGGCCGAGTAAATCAGTTTTAAATGGGCAGATTACCTTCTATCTATCACAGCTAGCTACTAAAGAGGCTGTTGTAGTTGTTGGCCACATGATTGTTACTGTGATTTGCTGCGAGCTCAGACAGTATGTAATACATTATTGGACTTTGTAGTTACAAATACCACCAAATTTATATTGTACCTTGACTGCATTCTGAATGTTTCTCCCTCCTCCATTGATCAGTGTTTCCTGTCTGTGTGTTTGCTCTCTATTCTAGGAGCCAGTGCAAATAATTTCATTGTGTAGTTATGTCTTAGAGACACACAGCTCACGATGCAAGTTTCCCATTTTGGGGCAGCTGCTACAGTTTCTGATGTTTGTGTAGCTTTAGTGTGGACAGAGCCTCTCAGTATTAAGATGAGCTTAAGATAGCTGTAGATGTAGTTGTCTTCTCACATGAAACCCTGCTTTATCTGGCTTTCTTGGGAACGCTACTTTTTCGGTTGTTAGAGTACATAAAGACTCAAAATTTTGGCTTGTGCTTTCATACACACATAACTTTGTGTGTGCATATATGTGTGTGTGTGTGTGGGAGAGGATGGGGGTGTCAATTCTCTGGGATCCACATGAACTTTGAGACTGTGAGGTCACACACTCGCTGACAACTCAACCACCTGTTGCCCCCCCCACCACCACCACCACCACCACACGCACATGCACGCACACACAAGTGTGCACAGGGACACACATATCCACATCCTTACGCCCACATCCACATTCATAGCACACCCTCTGTCGTAAGACTCGTCACTTCTGCAGACTTGGAGTGGAAATGAGTGGTGATCGTGACGATGGTGTTTGAGAGTTGCGCTTTCTCTCTTTTGTTCTGGGATGTTTTTCATTTTTCTGTGAAAAAAAACGGCTACTTTGTCTCACACACACACACACACACACACACACACACACACACACACACACACACACACACACACACACACACACCTGCAGTTATACTCAAATACAACTAGGCGTATTTTCTTGAGGAAATATTGTATTGTGATTGCTTTGATTAAAAAAAAAAGTGTAAAGAAATTGTCGTGCCCACACGAACATGCATTGAATTACATTACAAAACCACGTGAAATCAGTTAAATTAGTAAGTTATTGATAACATTCAAACATCGTGACACGTATACATATATTTTATTTGGCTCAAAAAGGTCACAGAACATGTTAATGTCCTCAGGCCAAAGGGCTTGTTGTTATAGCGCATTTGCAAAGAAAAGCTTTTCAGTCAAGTTCAGGGTAGAGTGTCCCATACCTGACCCAGTCTTAAGAGCAGAAGCAGGTGCATCGGGGTTTTTAAGCGCGAAGGGTTGCACAGCCCTTTATATACAGAAATCTCCTCCCGCCCACCTCCCCCCTTATATATACAGAGTCATGTACTGTTGCTTCTCTGTCAGACATGAAAAAATACATTTAAGCCTTAAATCTTTTCATTATCCACTCCTCTCTACAGTTTTACCATTAGACCACGACTGCCACCAGGAGAACTCCTATGGTCTGCTGTGGCTATGACGTCATTAAGTAATTATACGTCCGACCCCGAGTGTTGTGTGTAAAAAGTGTTTTTGAGTGGTGAACAGGCCCTGCCATTAGTGCATAGTGATCGAAGGAACAATCGTGCATGTAATGAGAAAAACTTTGATGGTGTTTAGTAGTCCCACCCACTGTAGGCAATGATAGAGACAAAGGCAGCACTGTATGAGTATCATAGTTACTGTTTCAGGGCAGAGGATGAAGTGCTTGCTTTGATTCTCTGGGCCACAACGGTCTGAGCCCAGTCCAAATTCAGTCAGTGTGTTCATTCGTCTGGACTCCTTAACCACCACTGCTGCTTCTTTAGTGACCACTGCAGGTCCACAGACATGTCATAGAAATCGTGCGTGAAAACAAAAGTAAAAATTATTTCCTTCAGGTAAAGCTTTAACAAGCTCATATATTCACAGAGGCAAAAAAAAAGCCTGCTCTGTCACTTCTTTCTGTCTTCAGCGTGATGCTTGATCGTTAACTCAGAGAGTGTTCGGGAACAAAAGCAGCACACACCCAATCCAGGGTGTCACTGTGTGTTTGTGACAACCCAGAGTCAAAGTCAGCCCATGTGAGCAGTGACCTGCGAGGCCCCGCCTCCCGACTGGCTCCCTGCCAGTCCCAAAGTCCGAGAATCGAACAAGAAGCCTTGCTGTCCTCCGCCGAGCACACCCAGACTGTCCGTTAAAGTCCCACTGGGCGACGAGCCAAGGAAGGCACTCTGGTGATTGGCTGTGGCGGTGGCAGCCATTTTATCAGGACTTGCAGCGAGGCGCGGCGAAGAGGGAAATGTGTAACCATACAGGCTGTAGGGCGGCGTGTGGAGGCGAAGGCCGGCATAGCCCTGTGAGGTGGGGTTGGAGAGATAGCCGAGCTGAGAGGCAGGGAGAGGCAGGGAGCAGAATCCTTCGGCTTCATACGCAGATGGACCTCTGGGTGGGGGGAATGGCTCTGGGGCGTTACTGTAACGGTGGAGGGGGTGTGCCGGCCGGCTACAGGTGTAGTCCGGTGGGCTGAGAGGGCAAACTTGGAAAGGAGATGAGCACGGGGATGTGGAGAGCAGGTGAGGCGATGCTCCAACCGCTGCATGAGTTCCTGGGACTCCTACAAAATAAGAGCAGGATAAATGTTTACAGCCATGGCAACCTGTAGTTATGACCAACCAGTCCTCTGTGAGTGACTGATAAACACTTTCATGGTGTGAATAAGGACGCCCATCACAAACAAAGATTTTGTCTTTAGGTTGGATATCTTATGTTCACCATCCAGAAGCTTCCCGTTGTTGAACTTTACCTTGCTTGGTCATGCCAGGGATGTCCTCAAATGTGAGTGTTCGGAGGGATGGACGCCAGAATGCATAAGACTCAACCAAAGCCTCCAAACCCATCCTGCAAACACACACAAATGCACACATTAACACTTCACCGTGAGCTCTCCCAACCTTCTAATGTCTGATGCAGTGGGAACCTCTCTTTCTCGCTCTAACTCAGCACGCCTCACTAAATCGTGCATTTCGCCCAACCACCTGGCGGCCATCTTAGTCGCCTGTGGGGCCCTCCTCGCCATCTCCATGGAGACCGCAGGTAATGAGGGGCATAAACGCCAGGCTTCGATTGGCTGCTGCTGGTTGGGTGCTTGTGTGTAATTGCTTTCACACGGCTTTTACGGGCGAATCAGGACGAAGGAGCAGGAAGCCGCAGCAACGATTTATGAGGTGGGACTCTCCTTCTTCCTCCTCCGCCCCCACCCCAAATCTGAGCCTCCATGCTCCTCTAGGTGGGGCGGAGGGTTGCTGTGGCGGGTGGGTAATGCGAGTGCTCTGTTACCCCTCGTTAGCGTGAGGATAAAAGTCTTCCCCCCCGCGGGGTTGTAGCCACGGTGATAATTTAGACAAGCTGCCCGGAGCGGTTCTGTGTGCTCCAAAGCAGCCTATCAGAGCAGAAGTTTATTTAGCAAACTGCTTAACTCTTCCTGTAATATTTAAGAGAAGGGTTTTTTTTCAGCCTTCCTGAGTTTAACTTTTATAGGGTCAGCTGTCAAGGTGCCTGGGTTATCCAGTTTGCCGTTCTCTACCTTCCTCCCTCTCGCACATTCCCTCTGCTTCCCTTCCTCCGGCTCTCCTCTCTAATGATTTCTACGAGGCCTCAGGGGAGTGGCTGTTTGGAGACTGCTAGAGTTTTACTGCTGTGTTGTTTTAATGCTGTGTTTATATATGTTTAGAAATGTGTTTATACAGATTTTCTTCGGGACACTCTTGACTTTTATTATTTTGCTGTTGATGTTTATGTTCCCGAGGCTGGCTGGAATCTGACGCTCCATTTAGGCTCGCAGACAAAGTTACAGCATGTGCCTGTAACAGTGCAATTGCAGGAATTAATTTGCCTTTAAAGTTAGCACATTTGAACGAAAACGAATCACCACTCTAACCATAGCTACGTGCCACGTCTTTTTTCAGCTTAGTCCATTTCTTTTTCCTTTTTTTTTGCCCTTCAGGACAAAATTTAACGGGAGGCTGTAGCACATTTTCCATTAGGAAAAAAATAAATAAATAAATACATAGCTTTACTCCCCGTAAAATCAGACTAAAATAGCAGTGACAAAAACCACATGCAAGCCAAAATATGAAGCAGTCATGCATCGCTCACTACCCCTAATGCACCAGATAATGTGCAAATCTCTGCGGTTAAAATGAACTCACCGGTTTCTGCCAGAGTCTCTGAAGCCTTTGGCAAATGGGTTTCTGTCAATTTTCAGCCTTGTAATCTGAAAAAGCAAAATAAGACTCTAATTATTTCCTGAAACGTTGTTATTATGAAATCAAAGATAACGCACTACGCTATATAATACCACTTCCAGCCAAAATGTTTTCTTTCTCGGAAATCTTTCAATCAGGTCTATAAATAAATTCATTCGTGAGCATGCGTACTTGTATGTTTCTTTGTACATTTATGTGACTTTGTGTGGGTTCATGCATGCATACATGCATGGAGTTAATGTCTGTGAGCCTGTTCAGACTGTGGGTGGTGTTTAAGGCCCAGCTCTGTGACCCTCATCCAAAAGGACTTTTATAGACATCACCACCATGTTCTGACTTCAGCCATCATGCACTGCAGGCCAGCAAACCTCAGCTAACGTCCTACTTCAAAGCTCACATGGAGCAAACATGTGCAAAAACACAGAAAAGCTGCAGCTTTCCTCACTGAAAACAGAAAATATAACAATCTTAAGCTATGTGTGACAACGTAAGCGAATATCACTATTATTTCTTAACAGCCCGTCACATAAGCCTTTATTTGGTAAACTGCTTTAACAGCCTGCAGAGGAGTTTCCAGAGGACTTTATTCTGTTTATTTTGCAGAGCATGTACATGCATAGACATACACGCCTGCTGACAGAGATGAATCTGCCTTTAAATGCAAAACATAGAACATGTGTGATGTTTTTTTAATATCCCTGTAAAGCACTTTAAAATAGACTATCGGCTTAAAAAGTGCCATATAAATACATTTTACTTACTTACTTACTAGGAATTAAAATAGCTTATCTTTACACTGCATGATGAGCTGCACGAACGTATATTAAACTTCTAACATCTACTTCACAACCACAACATCCAAAATTACATCATGTGTTTTCAAATTCACAGCACATCGTAGCAGCACACACTGGAAATGTGACTTTCTTGGCGACTGTGAGTATTTTGTTATATTTAGTTTATGGGTCTCTACACAGGAGTTCAGCTGAGCTACCTGTTGGTTCTGATACGCCGTGACAGTGGTAAACACGGTCTCCGGGAACGAGAAGGTGCGCGTGCCTTCCCCTGCGGGGATGGTCCTCACTGGGGATAACTCTTCTCCACACTCCTTACGGATTACATGGACCCGCGGCTGGTATTTGTGCATGGAGTGCAGAATGATCTGAACCGGGGGAGGGAAACACATTGATTGAGGCTTGGATTATGTAACTGCTATTTTATGTGTTTCATAAAGCATGGCTGGGGAAAATGGACATGTAGCTTGTGGGTGCACAAGCTCTACAGACCTACACTGTAAAAAGAAAGAAAGAAAATTAAATAAAACATGAAAATGCACAGAACATTAAGTCATGTTCAACTCAGACTAGGAAACTATGAGACTTTTACTATTTCATATGAGATGAGACTTTTTAATATTAGATTAGAAATTTACATTTTATATAATAGCTCATTGTGAAATTGAATGTCTTGATTGTAAATAATATGCAGTCATATTATTTGCTACAATAGTAGTAAATCATTTCATACAACAGAGCCACATTACAAATGTGTCACACAAGTGTGATGTGCTGCTACATACATGTCCTTGGTCATCCAGCTCGTTGTTGGTCAGTTTGAGTTTGTCGAAGCTGATCACCTGACGCATCCACGTCTCTCCTGAGGCCGGGGAGTCCGGATGGATGTATACTCTGGGAGGCACAGGGGAGTCGGCATTCCCCGCTACCATCCACTTGGAGCTGTGATACACGTACCTACACAATTCACACACAAGACAGTGAGTGAGCACGGTTTCTGTCTGAATGAACGTATCATTTACAAATCAAAAGGTAGACTCGATACTTCAGTAACTGATGAATAAATATACAGTAATAAAGAATAAAATGTTTTCTTACAAGGGAGTGAATTTATAAAAGCATAAAACTTTAACACTAAAATCTAAGTTCATATTTTACTCTTTATGACTTTAGGGCCGGACTGGACACCCCCCTCCAGGCCACAGGTTAGACTCCACTACAGGATTAATGCTCTTTTTAAACAAACAGTATTTTCCTTCTGTTTGATCCACGGCGCTTTGACACCGGACGTTCTGAAGTGCGCCAATGCGCACCAAAGTTTACATAATGCATTTGTTATATGTTCTATAGGCAGATGGACCAGTAACGTGCTATCCGGCATGTCATTCACTTTAAAACGTGGTATCCTATAAACTGAATTTTGAACCTTTGAAATGACACCCACGCGGTTTATATCACGCAAAGACTTGGCTACACGGATACCGCTGCAATAACACGCCGTTTTCTTCTGCTTTGTAACGACTTTTGCTGGTTTGACCTTCCAGGGTGGAGAGGTTAGGTATCCAAACGGTCCTCTCCAAAAGGGACGACAAAACCGCCGTGACAAAACACCGGTGCCAAGCACCATTTGTGGAGGCAAAGCTGAGGTTGCACAATTGCAAAATCCTGGGTTGTACCAAGAACACAGTGTATGGAGTCTAAATCAGGACTACATGCTAAAGAAAATTGCTGTGCTGTTGCCATTTATACAGTACACGCGTGTGAGAGTGTATCTTTAAGCTACAGCGCTGTGGGGTACAGCTTTCATTCTTTTGGGGACATTTTTCGCGATTCGTTTTTTTAGCCTCGAAATCGCTTTTCTGACATTGGGAATCGTGTGATTTGCCCAAATTCCTTATATTGTGCTTTTTTCCGGACAAAATGGAAATGAATTTGTTTTTTTCAGAGCTGGATGACACAAAACTATTGAACTATTTTACGAATGACGTGTTTTATTGCTGTTAGTATTTCAGCGAGTCCTTTAAATCCTAACAGCACATTTAAAATAATCATGTTAACAATTGTTTTTGTTAACATCCAGCGTGTTTGCTTCACATTATGCATTAGCCTATTTTGATGTGTTATTATAGTTTAACAGATTATTACGTCAATAAATTGCCTTGGGCTCCATAGCATGTTTAAACAATATGCATTTTTTACAAGTATTTTCTAGAGTTTTGTTTTTTATCAGTGCATAAATTCATCCTTTAACTTTTGGCACTGAATATATCCAACCAGTTCATTATCATGCCCAGTGATTCATCAAAACACTTGAATATAAGGTTTTAAGGATTAAAACAATTCAATTCGACATCCCATCACACATCAATAAAAGGTCTGTGGTTAAAATGTACGTGGGATTAGCGAATTACATCACTGCCACACTTAATCTACCTTTTTGCGCATTCTTTATCTGAAAAGTTCAGTCAGCAAATGAACACCAAGATTATGCCCTCATTTTTTCAAAAAGTAAACATTATTTAAAAATTACTTTTTAAAATATTTTGTACAGAATTATAAATTTAATGACATGGTGTACATGCCATAATTGACATTATTACATATTATTAACTCAAAAAGTCCATCTTTTTGTTAAAATAAAGCTGAATATGTTCTTTTAGTTCACATTTAATTTGTGTTTTTGGCGCCGACCACAGTCCCTCACGTGATGTCGCAGGACTTGTGTCATGCGACTTTGTTTTATATTTCGACAGGGATTGCTTTGACAAGTCAAAAATAAAATGGTGTTTCAAATATCCCAGTGTACTCAGATTCGCTGGCACTCTATTCTGTTTTTACATTTTCCTTCATTACGAGATTTGAAAAATAGCTTTTAAAAATTCTGACAGCAGGATCTCAAAGTTTAAGAAGCAGCATCTTTACGATTTACGAGCTTTGGAGTAAGTGTGCACGGGCCTGTGGTGGAGCTTTTTGTGGGTCTTACCTATATCGTTTATTGTCCACGGGGATTATATCCATGGCGATGTAATACTGCTGATGTGGATCCAAACCCGTAATCTTCACACGCATAGCGGGGAACATCCGGCTGCCAGGAAAACCAAAATCATTCTTTTGCAACACTCTATCATTTTTTAACTGGTGAATAATATATTATTCACCATCACAAAAATCCATTAATAATAGCTTAATTAAAGAATCAATGCAATAGAGTTTTGTTTGGCTTGGTTAGAGAAATTAACTCTCTAAATAATTATTTTAATAGCAATTTTGCTCACTTTTCAAATTATCATCTGGTTCACTGCCTTGCTCATTTAATTTCTACGAATCGTGCGTCTTATTTCTTCTTATATATTTGATATTGTTTTCATCTTTAAAAATGTTTTTTTTCTCTCAAGTTTCTCATTTCTTATTTTCTTCAGTCACCCATAAAGTTACGCATTCACGCGAATCCCTGTCTCACCGTCCGGCCTTGGTGATGATCATCTCCGTGCCAATCTCGTGGAACCTTTTCCACAGGTCTGATCCCTGCAGGTCCACGCGGGTCTCCTCTCCGGTCCCGGTTACCGGCGCCGTGCACAGAGCTGCGGGCTGCGGGCTCTCCAGCAGCGCGTCGTCGCTCTCTGCTGCACCGAGATGAATTGAGATTGGCACGTGTTAATTGTAACATTCCATCACAAGCCAAGCGTTGTTCACGAGGTGTTGCATTTCACTCTTGTTGTGTGACTCATTAAAACAAAAGAAAAATGAATCTGAACGGGGTTAAAGCGCGGTAACGTCACACGGTAACGTCTCAGCAGAACAAAGGAAATACGTTGAAAGCCTTACTTTAATTTACAACACAATTATTTCAGAAGAGCAAGAGCGAAGTAAATATTTTTAAACCTCTGGCAGCTATTTCTGTCTCTACGATTTAATGTCACGCTATTGATAGATAGCCTTTAAAAAAATGAAAACTATGAGAAAGTAGAAATATCTGCATGCTTAAACACCGTCTCGCACTCAGTACTGACCTTAAAAATGTTCAACGATTTTCACGCCAGTGCTTGAGTTGAAACCTGTTTTAATACTGAGGATATGTTCAGAGGAAGCACTAACAGCGGTGTTTATGCGTCTCGCCGCTGTTGTTATTTGTGCTATTCAGCACAGGCCTCCCCAAGTGGTAGAAATTTATGGACATTAGACATGGGCCTAACGAGGCAAACTAACACAGAGACAACTCCTCAGCCAAATGCATTGTGAACTTGCAGCGGGTTTAAATCCTAATTTGTCCGGGCCAGTCGGTTTATTTCGTCTGCAGACCTCTTAGTATCCTTTCCGTGGCAGTTTCCCGGCCTTTATACGCTGCTAATTGGCGTGTTTATGATTGCAACACAACTCATAAAGCCTCTCACATTAGTCACACTCACACCGCTCATATTTACTAGACCAGAGCAGTGATGTATCACAGTCTCACCGTGCGGCCCCGAAGGAAGCCTATTGTTGTTTTACTTTATAAACGTCATCTTTTTTATGCTTATGACCGAATTCTAGTCGGTGACGAGAAGAAGAGAACATGAATTATTATGCAGACAAGGGGAAAATGCTCATGAATACATAAGCAAGGATCAGGATTTTGGTCTTCTGATATAATAACAGAATAACAAATGTGCGCGGGCAGCAGCTGCACAGTAATTAACCAGCTTAAACAAATGCATCCTATAATGATGGAGTATGAGCGTCAAGTCATAATTTTATAATGCTGACATGTCAGACACCTATTATTATTATTATTATTATTATTATTATTATTATTATTATTATTATTATTATTATTATTATTA